CAATGCATCACGTACCCTTTCGGGATCATTGCCCTGCTCGACATCCGACTGTGTGAGTAGAGAGGGGATCTGCGCCATGGTAAGGGATGGGAGGGAGGGGTAGGATGTCAGATATGACGCGAGCGCACTTAGCTTGCCCTCGTCCCCCTCCCCCTCCTCCTCCTTCTGCCTTTCCTCCTCCTCCTCCTCCTCCTCCTCCTCCTCCTCCTCCTTCCCCTCCTCCTCCTCCTCCTCCTCCTCCTCCTCCTCCTCTCTCCTCCTCTCCCCTCCTCCTCCTCCCCCCCTCCTCCTCCTTCCCTCTTCCTCCTTCCCTCTCCCTCCCCTCCCTCTCCTCCTCCCCTCCTCCTCCTCCTCCCCCCCTCCTCCTCCTCCGCCTTCTCCTCCTCCTCTCCCTCGTCCTCCTCCTCGTCCTCCCCCTCCTCCTCCCCTCCTCCGCCTCACTCCTCCTCCTCCTCCTCCTCCTCCTCCTCCTCCTCCTCCTCCTGCCTCCTCCTCCTTCCTCCTCCTCCCCCTCCTTCTCCTCCCTCTCCTCCTCCTCCTCCTCTTCCTCCTCCTCCTCCCCTCCTCCTTTCCCCTCCTCCTCCTCCTTCCCCTCCTCCTCCTCCTCTCTCCGCCTCCTCCTCCTTCCTCCTCCTCCTCCTCCTCCTCCCTTCCTCCCCCTCCAGCTTCGGCAGCTGTGGACTGCCGCGCCTGGCGAACATCGTCGGACGTCGTTTTGTTTCAGGAAGGGCACTCGCAGTGCGCGGCCTCCATCGTGGGCCGATCTGCCGCCCCCTCGGTCCTGCCTGACAGCTCGCACAGGAACAGAAATCCTCCTTTTCCTCCTGTCCTCCTCCTCCTCCTCCCCCTCCTCCTCCCCATCCTCCTCCTCCTCCTCCTCCTCCGCCTCCTCCTCCTCCTCCTCCTCCTCCTCCTCCTCCTCCTCCTCCCTTCCTCCCCCTCCAGCTTCGGCAGCTGTGGACTGCCGCGCCTGGCGAACATCGTCGGACGTCGTTTTGTTTCAGGAAGGGCACTCGCACTGCCGCCCCCCTCGGTCCTGCCTGACGGCTCTCTTAGGAGCAAAAATCCTCCTCCTCCTCCTCCTCCTCCTCCTCCTCCTCCTCCTCCTCCTCCTCCTCTCTCCTCCTCCCCCCTCCTCCTTCCCCCTTCCTCCTCCTCCTCCTCCTCCTCCGCCTCCTCCTCCTCCTCCTCCTCCTCCTCCTCCTCCTCCTCCTCCTCCTCCTCCTCCTCCTCCTCCTCCTCCTCCTCCTCCTCCTCCTCCTCCTCCTCCCCCTCCCCCCCCTCCTCCTCCAGCTCCTGCCCCCCTCTTGCGGCGGCGGCCTCCGCTGGCGGCCACGCTGCCTTTGGGCTGCGCCCGCGCTGCCGGCACGGGGCATCCCCCCGCATCGGGGGCCCTCAAACGGGGTGGTGACCACACCGTGTGGTGAGGTGGTGGGGTTTCGGGGTCTCCGCACGGTTTTGGGACCTGGGTCGTTTTCCGAGGACGTCTCGGGCGACCGGGGCCTCCAGGGTCCCAAGACCGTGTGGTGACGGACTGTGCGGTGAGGTCTCTTGGGGTTCCGAGGTCACTGCACGGTCTTTCACCACACGGTCTTGGGATCCCCAGCCGCAGGGCCCCTCCTGGACCATTTACACGGGCGAAGAGAACTACGCACATGCACCGATCCTGACAACGCCCATCCTTGACCCAGGATCGGTGCATATAGCTTCCTGGCCAAGGTAACGGGGGCGTATGCACCGATCCTGGACTCAGGGTTGGGCCTGGCCAGAATCGGTGCGCGTGCATAGGTCTCTTTCCTTTAACTTCCACGCGTGCAGGGCGGTTCCGTCCCAAAGTGGGGTTGTCGCATTGGCGCCGCGCACGCCTGTCTCAAGCACATCCACACATTACACACGGACGGAGGGCAAGCCGTTCTCGCAAGGGGGCTCGGGCCGCGGCCGGCGGCAGGACGATATCGGTGCGCGCTTGCCCCGCAGGGCCCCAGAGTCAGGCGTCTCTGGGCCTCTGCGCGGCCTCCTGGCGGGAAGGGCGCGCGCGGGGACGCGAAGCGCTCGGCAGCCGAGCGCACGGGCATGCCGAAGAGGGGCCGCGGGGACTGCCTGGCGAATCGAGGTGGGCATCCGTCGGGCGGGGCCAGGACGAGGATGAATCCGTTCCAGAGCCTTCCGGAACGCTCTCAGAGCATTCCTGAACGCTCTGAGAAGGCCGCCACGCCCGAGACATGATCCAGAGCTGACGGATCCCAGAGTTCCCCGATGTAGTTTTCATCGCCCGGATATATCCGTGTCCTGGCTTCGTCGTAATGCTTTCCCACGGCGCGGGTGAGTGCGGGGCGCTTTGTGCAGGTGGTCTTCGGCCGCAGAGATCTCGATCTCGAGAGAGTGGCGGCCCTCTAGCGGAGCCGAGGGAGCGTGTTCTGGCCACCCCAACAGAGGCGAGGCCCGCGTGTCCGCCTCGGGCCTGTTGTCCCCCCCATCCCCCCCTCGTCTGGAGGTGGCGAGACGGTTCCGTCAGTCGAAGAAGAAACAATTGCATAAACATAGACTGTTGGCGCTCCGCGCGGATTTCTTGGATCCGCGCTGGGCACCTCCAGCGGCGCCTCCAGAGCCGCCCCTGGCGCGCTCCGCGCGCCAGGGAGGGGGGTCCAGCGCAGATCCAAGAAATCCGCGCGGAGCGCCCAAAGCGTATGTTTATGCAGTTTTTGTTGGTGTTTTGGTCAGGTGCTGCGGTGCGGGGGGGGGCTCGGTCCCGCCAGTGCGTCTCCCTTCCTCCCCCTCCCCCACTCCCTCCCCCACTCCCCTCGGGAGGCCCCGACTCGAAGTGGCCCCGACTTGGGGCGTGTAGGAGTTGCGATTGCCAAGTTTGGCTTTCTCACCCCTCTGGTTGTGGAATCGTCTATCATAGGCCCCCTGAGTGGCCAGCGTCAGGTTGTTGCGAGTGGCGAGGTCAAAGCCTTACCTGGCCATTTTCTGCTCCACGGGTCATCTTACGCATATAAGGGATTTGGAACCGTACGGATGCGTGTACCGCGCGCCCAGAGGGCAGGATGTTGATATATGTATTGCTGAAGGCAAGCTGATGCTGTCCTGCTTACCCGCAGCCACAAAGAAGCCAGCAACATGTGTGAGAGGAGGGCCGCCAGTAGCCTCGTGCTTGCCAACACTGTTGCTGACGAACTTGCTAAATGCGCTTCGAATCCGATCACAGTTTCTGAAGCTTCCGCGCAGTCGTTACGTACCCACGAACGTCGGGCCGTGCTGGTCCGCACACGTTTGCTCAGAGCCCCCTCTGGATTGTTTTGCGGCCGAGGGGGCTGCATCGCTTGAGGCTCGGGGTCGGAAAACTGAGGTGGTCCCACCTCCCCCCCTTCCCCTCCCCCCCTGCTGCTGCTCTCTCCCCTTTGCTGTCTGCTCACAGGCTCTCTGAGTGCAGCTGGACACGTCTTGGATGCTTCGGTTCGGCCACCCTCGCCGCTGCCGGTGAACGGTGGCACTCTGCCTGGCCACCTCGTGCGAACGTTACCGGGCTCTGGACGTGCTCGTCTGCTGGCAGCACGATGCACGTGGCGGTGAGTTCGCTGCCCTCCTCCCCAGGGGCTCCCACGAGGGCGCGAAGTTGGTCGCGCTTCGCGGTCCTCGTTCCTTCTCCCCCTCCTCCTCGGCCTCCTTTTCTCCCTTTGGGGGGGGGCGGCGCGCGAGCGCGAAGCTATTCGCACTTCGCGCTTCGCGGAGCGCGAAGCGCGAAGCTGGGAGCCCTTGCCTCCCACCTCCGCAATCATCACACCGCGTTGCCGCTCTGGTTCCGCGGACACTGCGGAGTCATGGCTGACACGCATCTTCGCTGGGCAAACCCTGCGGTCCCTCCACGAGCACAGGACATGTCTGGCCAGAGCGAATTGGAGATGCGCTCACCCCCGAAGTCCTGAGCAAGGCTGACATCCGAAGGCGGCGGCAATGGTCTTCTCTTTCATCGTTTCTGTTGTCAGGCACGCTTGCATCCGCAACTGTTCCCTACTCCTACTTGGTACCCCCCCCTTCCTCCCAGTTTTTTTTGTGTGTGGCTTGCGCTGGGTGCTGGGTCAACCAGTCCAAGAAGTCATCCTCCCTCCTCCTCGCCCCGACCGTCCGTCCTCCCCTACCCTCTCCCTCCTCCCTCCATCGCCTCCCTTCTCCTCCCTCTTCCGCCTCCCCTCCCCCTCCTCTCCTCTTCCTCCCCCTCGTCGTCGTCCTCCTGACCCTCCTCTCCCCCTCCTCCTATTCTCCCTCCTCCTCCTTTCCTCGTCGCCGCCGCATCGGCTCCCCCTCCTCTCTTCCCCCCCTCGTCCTCCTCCTCCTCATCCTCATCCTACTCTTCCTCCTCCTCATTTCGTCGTCGCCGCCGCCTTTGTCGCCGCCAGCTGACCCCCAGACCTCTCCCGAGGGCTAGCCCCGACCATCACCACCCACCAGACCACGCCAACCCAACTGGAAGGCCCGAATTGCCCTCCATCTCCCAGTGGGGGATGGGGGCGTCGGGGTCGCAGTGAGAAGACACACGCGGAACCCCTACCCCCTCCCCGAGCCCGACGTGTGGGTCTTCGGGTTGGGCCAGGGGTGGTCTGGCAGGCAGTCCGAGCGAATCTCGGGGCGGGCCCCGCCGCGACAATCGGGCCGGGCGAAAGGGGGGGATTGGGAAAGGGGGGGTTACGATTTTTGCTGCATGTAGCCGGTTTCGGCCTCACCGAGGGGCCCATTCCTCGATACATAGCCGCCTCTGGCGGCGGGAGGCGCCGGGAAAATCAGCTACGTGAGCTGATTCTCAAACCCCCCCTTTGCTATCCCCCCCTTTCGCCCGACCCGATCCCCGGAAGCCCCCGAAGCGGAGGAGCGAGATCAAGGATCTTCTCCTCGCAGCCGCCGCCGTCGTCGTGATCGTCGTCGTCGTCGTCGCTGCCGCCGCCGCCTTCGTCGCCCGCCTCCGTCGCCCGCCGGCGCCGCCGTCGTCGGCCGGCGGCCCAGAGGCGGGACTTCCTCCACCAGCGCGTGGAGGCAGCCCTCAGCGCCGCCCCGGAGGACACGGCAGCGGCGCGGCCCGCGGGGGGCGGGGGGGGAGTTGGCCAGAGCGAGGTTGCCTCGCAGTGGCAAAGCCGAGGGGGCCAGCGAGCAACGCCCTGTAGCTGCCTCGCAGCTGTCCCGCCTGGCACCGTCGCAAGACGGAAGCAGAGCTGTGGCTCGGCGGCGAAGACCGACGTGCAACCTCGCCGATCAGAGATTCGGGCTGCTCGACTGGCGGCGATTCGGGCGTCAAACGCATGGCGAGATCCGAAGCCTAACCCCCGCCTCCCATCGATTCAGGAGAATCGACGGTGAGTGGGGGGAGGAGGAGGAGGAGGAGGAGGAGGAGGAGGAGGAGGAGGGGAGGAGAGAGAGGAGGAGGAGGAGGAGGAGGAGGAGGAGGGGGAGGAGGAGGAGGAGGAGGAGGAGGTGCATTCAGCGGGCATCGCAAGGATGGCAGCCTTCCACAGGGCAACCTTACAGACTTTTTTTTTTTTTGTTTTTTTTTCTCTTTTTTCTTTTTTTTTTTTTTTGCCCCTTTTCCTTCGGTTCCACCCTCCGCGACTCTTGCTGGCCAGCCTCGCTCGAACAACGCTAACACGGGCCTCCAAGGACCATGCATCCTTTCCCGCGCAGCCTTGTGTTACGGTCGGGCCGCTGAAGAAGGAACCCTTTTCGTTGGGGAGGGGCTCAGTGTTCCTTCATCGTCGTAGATTTGTTTTCGCGTGTTCCTCAGGTTTTCTCTGGCAAATTGATGTTTAACTTATGGGAAAAAAAGGGCCTCGTTCCTTATTTCGGGTCCCTTATGACAGCGTCTTGATTGTACGGGTTGACCGTAGGATTCGGACCTCGCCACCTATCGGTGGCAACATCGCCGCAGTGCCGTTGCACACCTTGGGTTTTCTTCTCCCGGGGGAGGAAGGGTGCGGCACGGCCGCGGGGGCGCGGCCGCGGGAGGGGGGGAGCTGAGGGTGGCTCGCAAAAGGGGGAATGGCGTCCCAAGGTGGGGTTGGAGATGGAGGAGGAGGACGAGTAGGAGGAGAGGACGAGGACGAGTAGGAGAAGGAGGAGGAGGAGGAGGAGGAGGAGGAGGACGAGTAGGAGGAGGAGGACGAGTAGGAGGAGGGGGACGGGTAGGAGGAGAGGAGGGGGGACGGAAAGGAAGGAGGGCTCACCACCTCCGCCATGTCTGCTCACCAGCCAGGCGGACGCGTAAAATTGTTGCCTCAGAGGGCCTCTGCTCCTGGCTGATCCTACTTTATCGGGCCATTTTAGTCTCTTGCACAGCTGTGTTCGAGAGCTCGGACCTCTTTATTTTCGTTCGTCGTCGTTCGTTCGTTCGTTCGTCGTTCGCCCTCCCCCCAGGCCACAGAAGGAAACTCCTGGAGCAAGGAGGCGAACGCCTCCTGTCCCTCGCAGCTCCTTGGTGCAAGAGCCAGGGCACGCGTGCCACTTGTTCCTGCGTCCATCTGGCTCGATGTGCACGCCCCTGCGCCTGACAAGTCGTGTATTTCTCCTGCGCTCACTGCCCGGACGCTGCGGGCCTAGCGCCTGAAGTCCGCTCAGCGCAAAAATGGAGGGACACAAATAGCATACAGCTTGTACATCGTCGTCGTCCTCCTCATCCTCCTCCTCGTAGGGAACGGGTCTGGCTGGACGCTCACATCTCCTTCCTCAGGGGGGCGTTTGTCGGACGAGGCTAGGACGAGTATACATCCGCTCCAGAGCGTGAACGCTCGCAGAGCTTTCCGGAACGCTCTGAGAAGGCAGCGGCGTCCGAGACATCCTGAGACATTCTACAGATACACGGGATCTCAGACATCTTCGATGTATCATTACCAGAATTGATCCTCGTCTTGGCTTCGTCTTACGTTTGGTACTCGTCTTACGTTTGGTACGATGCTCTCCGAGCATCACCTCTGCCCGTGCCCCACCCTTACGTCGCCCCGAGAAGTGGGCACCTTCGCAGGGCGCCGCTTGGGCGCTCGGGCGCCGCCATGGGAATTGTAAGAAGGGGGAGCATCAGGAGGGGAAGACACACACAGACATAATCAATCCACTACCCCCAGGAAACGATTGGAACATGAGGAAGCTGAGGGGGAAACCCAACACCTGGAAAACATGGGAAAGCATGGGAGTCCGAGGATATGTGTCTATTCATGTGTGCGTCCCTGGGCACACTTCTTCAAAAGCACACGTAAAGTTTCGTTCATCCGTGCGGGTTTTTTTGATCGGCGTTGGACCCCCCAGGCGACGCCTCTGTCCCCGCCGCTGGCGCGCCATGCGCGCCTCGGAGGAAGGTCCTTTGCCAGTGCCGATCTGGGAAAGCCGCGGGAAGCTCCGGAAATCAATGCTGAGGTTTCTGTTGCTTCTCCCCCGGGAGTGGAGCGGAGCGGCTTCACGAACATTGGAGATTGGGGCACGATCTGCGTCGAAGGAGCGTACTCCAAATTTCGTAATACAGGGGAGCGTGTCTGGACCCTCCAAGACAAGCCATTTCAGACCCCCCCCGTGGGAGAACCCTCCAAAACGTCGTCCCCAGACCCCCCCAGGCCCTGCAAGATGGCCTGGAAGAGACCCCCCCCGAAATGAGCCTCCCTTTATTACGAAATCTGGAATACGCGGGCATCCGCCCGCATCGGTCGTCGCAGCATCGGAATCCACCCAGAACGAACCCAGCCGACGAAGTGTAGGTCGAATCGGATCGATCGGATCGAAATGGACCCTGGCAAGCCGCTCTGTGTGTTCATCCGTTCGAAGGATTGCAAAAGAAAACAAGGATTGCAACAAAAACAAAGGATTGCAAAACACCGAAGGATTGCAACAACAACCCGAAGGATGCAGCACGGCGCCAGCGCGCCGCGTGCCGTGCCGGTGCCCCGGCTGTGCCGTCGCCGCGGCCGTCCATGGGAGCGCCATGAGCGTGCCGAGTGCGGTGCCCGCGCGGTGCTTGCGGCGTGCGGCCGTGCCGGGCCGCGCCTCCTCCTCCTCCTCCTCCTCCTCCTCCTCCTTCTCCTCCTCCTCCTCCTCCTCCTCCTCCTCCCCCTCCTCCTCCTCTTCTTCTTTTCTTCTTCTTCATAGGTTTCTGATTCTTCTTATTTTTCTTCTTCCTCCTCCTCCTCCTCCTCCTCCTCCTCCTCCTATCCTGGATGGGGTCGGAGTAGATGGGGTCGGAGGATCGCGCCGCATCGCCGATGCATCGCGCATGCGGCTCGTTGTGCAGTCCGATTTGCTTCACGTGGAGGTCGCCGACGCCGACGATGCATCGCCGGTGCATCGCCGATGCATCTCGGATGCATCGGCGATGTATCGGCGATGTATCGGCGATGCGGCGCGATCCTCCGACCCCATCTACTCCGACCCCATCTAGGCGGCCTCTATCCTAGAGAATTTGCGGCACGATGTCGCCAGTGGGTGTCGCAGATCGTGGGTGGAGAGAGCCCCCACCGGGACACGTCGATCAGCGAGTTGTCCGTGTTCGGTTCTCGGGAGGGGGCCGCGGCCGCCATTTTTTCCAGGCCTGCGCCCGCCAGGGTTTGGGGCCCGAGGTCGCTTGCACGAGGCCGCATTGAACTGGATGACGAACGAGCAACACACACCCATACCCATAGGGGGGTCGTTGAGAGGAGGACTGGCTATGGGTATGGGTGCGGGCTGTCGGACCCTGGGGAACGCTCCCGTTCGAGCGGGGAACCCCATCCGACAACACGCACCCATAGCCCTCTCCGACCCCCCTATGGGTATGGGTGTGTGTTGTTGGTTTGTCACGGCTGAAGGTGTGCGTGCTCGCCTCGGTCCGCGCGGCCGTTCTCTTGCAGGTCGGACAATTTCCCTGGCCGGCTCCCCCGATGAGCCCCACGCTGGGTCGCATCGCCTCCGCCTCGCCGCCGACGAGCAAAGCGAAGTGCGCGCCGCCAGCTGTTGCCCCCGAGGCGTGCACGCCGCCCCTCACGGCGTCCATCCCCGAGCAGAGGGGTGTGCCAGCGCGGTGGTGCCGCGGGGCATCGCAGCGGCACGCCACGGCGAAGTGTCGCAGCGCAGCGTCACGGGCGGGCGCCACGGCGTGAGTCCACGGCGTGACGGCGCGGCGCGCCATGGCGTTACGGTGCCGTTTTTAATATAAAAATAAAATGAAAATAAAAGAAATAAAAAAAACAAAAATAAATAAAATTTAATAAGAACTAAACATAAAAATACAAAACAATAGAAAATAAAGGGTTCCGTGTGCGGACCATGTACTAAAAATGAAGGGTTGATGCATATTTACAAGGATAAGTTGATGCACTAATTTATTCATCAAGTAAGCATGTATTAAACATCCCAGGTCTTTAAACAATCCCATGTATTGCAAGACTGCCCTGTACGGTGTGACCTCACGCCGTGAACTCAGCGTGCGCTCGTGCTGCGACGCCGCGTTGGTTATGTCGTCACGCTGCGAGAGCGTTCCGCGCTGCCGCATGATGCTGCAGCATCACACTGTGACGCCACGACTTGACATCCTGCTGGGACATCACGCTGTAGCCCGGCATCGCTCGGACGTGTGCACTTTGTCTCGGCGAGAACCCTTGAGGACGCTCCCGGACCATCGAGCAACAAAAAAAAACACGCACGAAACCGACAGACATGCACGGGAGATGGGCGTCCGAGCGATGGCCAGGCAGACTCGCGCTGTGGTATCACGCTGTGACGCCGCGTCGGGACATCACGTCTCAACATGCCGCTGGCTCTGCGACTCGAATCTGCTCTCGACCAGGGTTCAGGGGCACCCTCGGGCCTCTCCAGAACCAGCTCGTGCATTCGGAGGGCTCCGCCCTCGGAGCCGCCAGGCCCCCTCGCTCTTGCCTGCGCGGCTACGGTAGGTTTGCGTCGTGTCGACCAGCGGCGACCCCAGCGCTGGCGTTCAAGGCTGAACGCCGCCGGCGACCCAGAATCGATCGATGTTGAACGATTGGACGTTGCGGCAGCGGCCGATCGTTCAAGGTTTAACGATCCCTGCGGTGTCAAAAACCAACGCCAGGGTCGGCACGACACGAACCTGCCGTACGCTTGCTTGTTGGTCAGGCTGTTGTCTTGTCGATCGGTTGGCTGGCAACTGGGCTCTCTGGCTTTGGGCGCTCCGCGCGGCTTTCTTGGATCCGCGCTGGGACCCCTGGCGGCGCATCCGGCGCCGCCCCTGGCGCGCTCGGGCGCGCCAGTCGGGGTGTCCAGCGTAGATCCAAGAATTCCGAGCGGGGCCCCAGAAGCTGATGGTTATGCAGTTTTTTCCTTTTTCAGGTCAGGTGCTGCGGTGCGGGGGGGGGCCTCGGTCCCGCCAGTGCGTCTCCCTCCCTCCCCCCTCCCCCACTCCCTCCCCCACTCCCCTCGGGAGGCCCCGACTCTGAGTGGCCCCGACTTGGGCCAAAAGCGCATGTTTACGTCGTTTTGTCTTCTGTTGTTGTCCAGCAGGTGGTCGGCAGTTGGCTCGGGGCTGGTCCGTGGCTGGCCGGCCGGCGGCAGGGCCTCCGTGGGACCACACGAGGGTGCACTCGTCCGCCTCCGGTTTGTCGCGGGGCCGGCGCCGGGTGTGCCCATAGCGGGTCTCCAGCGGGTCCCCCTCCCATATATTCCTCGATCTTCGATCCCCCTCCCCCTTCTTCTCTTCCCCCCCTTGTCCGATTCCCCCTCGATCCCCCTCTTCGATTCCTCCCCCTCCCCCTCTCCCTCTTCGATCCCCTCGATCCTATACTTCCCGTCTGCCTCATTCGGCCCTCCTCGATCTTGGTGATCGGACGAGGACGAGGACAGCGACACAGATCCACCTCGGTTCTCCCCCTCCGCCTCCCGGGAAGGGAGCAGAAGCAATCGGAGCAGGACGGCGTAGGGAGGATGGGAGGGGCTCGATGTGTACACCGCGTCGTTTGGACGGTCAAGTAGCCAAGGAGATGGGCAAACGAGTTCGGTGTACATACGCTGCAACGTCCCACAGGTTGGAAACCCCGTGGCGTCTTTGCTCTCAGCTCCTGGGCCGACCAGGCAACTTGGTGTATATGTCGAGCTCCTGCCAGAAGAGGAAGGAGGTGGACCTGTGTAGATGCTGGATGCCTCAGCAGGTGGGCGAGGCAAGACAACGGGATCGTCTTCGCCAACATTGCCGCGCAAGTTGCCCGCGTAAGCTCGCGCGCAAGCGCCCTTGTTTTTCGCGTGGTGTGTTGTGTGGGCGGCCCGCGTAAGCTGCGGTGGAAGGTCGCTGTGCCACCTCGCGCAAGACCCGTTTTGGATCGTCGCTCAAAGGGGGAGGCTCCGCCCCCCTCCCCCGCGCAGGACTCGCCCCTCCGCGGCTGCGAGCTGCAGGTCGACTGGGGCGCCGCCCCGCGCCGCCTGCGCGGCCGCGTCCGACACCCCGCATCGGAAGGGGGGGAGGGAGGAGGCTCGAGTAGGATCGGGGGAACGTAAGACTCGGGTACGCCAGAACTCCTAGGAGGAAATCTACCCATACCGCTACCTTTCGCCCGTTTTCCACTTGTTTGGGCCTCCAGGGAGGCCCTCGTCGCAACCGCTGGATCCGCCTCGAAACCATTGTCAGAACGCAACCCGGGAGAGGTCCAGGGAGTAGGGGCATGGGTACCTTTTGGTTTCCCCAGGAACTCGGGTTTGCCGACGTTTTTCAACGAGCGCGTCCTGGGTTTTGACGGTCCAGCTTTCGTGGGATGTTCGCAGCGGGAGGTCGCGCCTCATTTTGTGTCGGGCCTGTCCCTCTACGGGGGGAATATTCAAGAATAGTCAGAAAATAGTCTGGGGACTAGTTTTTGGTTGTTTTACCCATTTAGGGGGGTATGTTTTGAGTATTTTATATTTTTCGCCCAAAATCCCCCTGTAGGGGGACGCGCCCGACGTAAGTCTAATTTCAGGCTGGGTCTCGTCATTCCCATGATGGCCACGTCAGGCCAGCCTGCGTCTTACGTCTCCCCGGTCGGAGGGAGGCAGGGCAGGGCAGGAGGCAATGCTCTGCCGTGTTCGCCCTGATCCTGCTCCTGCCGCTTCTCTTCCTCATCCTGCTGTTGCTGCTGCTGCTGCTCCTCCTCATCCTCCTGCTTCTCTCTTTACTTCCTCCTCCTCCTCCTCCTCCTCCGCCTCCTCCTCCTCCTCCTCCTCCTCCTCCTCCTATTCCTCCCCGCCTCCGTCTCCTCCTCCTCCTCCTCCTCCCCCCCTCCTCCTCCTCCTCCTCCTCCTTCGCCCGAGCTGCTCTGGGAAACCAGATCGTCGCTTGAGGTGTCCGTCTGGGCTGTCCAACTTGATCATTCTGGCTCCGGCCTGGGGCCTTTTCAGAAGTGGCCCCCGCCTCGGTTTGCACCTCGGCCCGCTGCGGGATGTCCGTGCCCGGGCCCCGCTGGCCTTGAATGCTTTTCGGATCCTCCTGTCCTTCCCTCCCCCTGCTTGGGCAGGAGGGATGAAGGGGACAGAGGAGGAGGAGGAGGAGAAGGAGGAGGAGCGGAGGAGGAGGAGGAAGAGCAGGAGGAAGAGGAGGAGGATGAGCAAGCAGAAGGAGGGGCACACAAGGAGGAAGAGGAGGAGTGAAAGCAGTCAATTCACATAGGGGACAAAGAAGAGGACGAGGAGGGGTGGATGAGGAACCAAGACGAGGGTTGGAGGAATGAGGAGCGAAGAGTATCGGACGAGGAGGATGAGGGGGAGATGAGGGGCGAATGGGAAGAAGTTGAAGGAGAAGAGAGTACGCTGCATGGGTGCATGAGGGGGATGAAGATGAGTGAGGAGAGGGTTGTGGGACGTAGATCAGGGCAAATGGTCGATGGAGGCTGAGGATGTCGGTTGGGGCGTTTACTAATGTTTTCTGGTGGTTCATAAGGAATTTCGAGTTATGCTGTTTGTTGTGTTGAATGAGTGATGGGTCAGAACTAATAGTAGATGATGAGGAGAGGGGGTAATGTTATTGATGAGGAGGATGAGGCGTTAGGAGAAGAAAGGAATGAAGGATAGTACAACTCTCTTTCGCCTCATGCTCCTCCACCTCCCTTGTGGCGGAGCAGGAGGGAGGGGAAGGTTCAGGAGCGGGTGGACGCAGACAAGAGTGGATAGTTTTTTGAGACAACGGGGAAGAGGAGGGTGGAGAAAAGGTGGGCTGAAGACGGAGGAGGGATTCTGGGGCGGAGCCGGAGGGTGGTAGACGCTGGAGGGACGAGAGATGACGAGCAGGTGAAGAATTGACGGCGGACGATAAATGATTAAATACAGACATGGGCAGGAATTGCGAAGAGCATCTCCTCGTTGCTCGGAGGTGGGAGGGAGGGGGGATGAGAAGGAGTAGAGAGTGAGGAGGAGGAGGAGGACGAGGGAGGCGCAGGAGGAGGAGCGGTAGGAGCAGTAGGGAGTAGCGACGAGGATCGTGAGGAGGCTGAAGAAGACATCGAGATATTGAGGAAGGCGAAAAGGAGTAAGGGCGAAGAAATAACAAACATAAAGGATGAATAACATGGGGAGCTGGAGGGGTAGGCCGCCAATCGATGTGGAGGAGGCGCTGGAGGAGGACGGAAGGAGGAAGAGGATGAGCAACGATGAGAATGGGGGCAGGAGGATGAGGGATATCAGGAGGAGAGACAGAGAGAGAGAGAGAGAAAGAAGGAGGCGGAGGGGAAACAGCAAGACCAGAGGACAGGATGCGGGAGTGGAGGAGGAGGAGGAGGAGGAGGAGGAGTAGGAGGAGGAGTTGGAGGAGGAGGAGGAGGAGGGGGAGGAGGAGGAGGGGGAGGAGGAGTAGGAGGAGGAGGGGGGTCGAGGCCGAGCAGGGGAATGGGGGAGGACTCTCACTCCTCCCTCCCCTCCTACCTCTTCACCAGCCGCCGCCGACGACAACGCTTACGACGCCGCTGCCGCCGTCGCCGACCCCGACGACGACGCCGCTGACTCCGAAAATGGCGACGACGACGGCGACGGCGACGACGACGGCGACGGCGACGACGGCGACGGCGGCGACGGCGACGACGACGACGACGGCGGCAACGACAACGACGACGACGGCGACGACGACGGCGACGACGACGACGACGACGACGACCCCCGCGCGCCCGCAGGTCGTCGGGAGCGCGTCGTGGGGCGGGGAGGCGCCCCGGCCGGCCGCCCCTGGGCCGCTCAAAAGGCGCCCCGCGTGGCCGGGAACGAGGCGCGTCCTCGGGACCTTTGGGCCTCCGATCTCGCGGGCGGCCAAGAGGGGGGTGATGGTCATCAAGCAGTGGCGAAGCGTCCTGTTTCGCCTATAGGCCCACTCGAACATGTTCCATGAACCTTCGGTGGTCTGCACGAGATGTTTTTAGAACGTTTCTGGCTGGGACCGTATTGTTTTGACACATTGGTCTTATGCTACGAGGAGATTATTGTTGTTATTTGAATATCCTTGGGTTCTAAGAACATGTCGTGGTAGGCCTATAGAAATGCCGGGGCGGTCGGTCCTGCTCAAGATTAGGGGCGGGGGGGTATCATGGTGGGGATCATCATCTCTCCCCAGATTTCATGGCGCCCCTTCGCGTGTCATTGCGTCCCTGCCCCCCCCCCCCAAAGGCCGCGCACGTGCCGCTGGCCATGTTTGCGGCCCCCTCTCTTGGACGCTTCCCTCTTAGCCGCTCCCGACGATCACAGGCTGTCGCGCAGCACGGACTGCCGCGGACCTGGGCCTCGCGTAATGGGGGGGGCGAGACATGGGGGGGCAGCGAGGGCTGCAGACGAGGGGCCCTTTAGGGCCCAGAAGTAGCGCCTGAACAGGGTACCTTTCTCCCCCCTTCATCCCCCCCCCTGTAAGCGATGCCCACGCGGAACGTGGGTGCAGGGCAGCTCCAGGCCCGTTTTCAGTCTGCGTATTTGGGCGGCTCCGGGAGTCAGTGTCGTTTAACCGATTCGTATCCCCATCCCCATGCCCATCCCCACCACCACAGCACCCCTGGGGGGGATATGCCCCTCGAAACTCGAAGGGAACAGTCCCCATCTAGGGCGGTCCCAGGCCCAGGGTGGAGCCCAGGCCACGCCCATGGGGATAGGGATCGGTTCAACGATGCTCAAGGAAGAGAGAAGGTATGAGGACGAGCAGAGAGGGACGCGACAGGGCCAGACAAGGTCGGAACGAAGCAGGGCACGACCACGCAGAGGCCAGAGTGCAGAGTGCCGAATCATCCCTTCCCTGCACCCTCAGGATCCTCCTGTGCCGGCATGCGTGGGTGCAGACAGCAGCTGCGTGAAGAGTGGGGCTCCGGGTGATCACTTTGACAATCCTCCTCCTCCTCCTCCTCCTCCTCCTCCCCCTCCTCCTTGTTCCTCCTCCTTCCTCCTTCTCCTCCTCCTCCTTCCTCCTCCTCCTCCTCTTCCTCCTCCTCCTCCTCCTCCTCCTCATCTCCCCCCCCCCTCCTCCATCATCGGCCCTTCGGGCCAGCCAGGTGCCGCAGTCGGACCTGGACCTGGCGCTCCTGACGCCCGCCCGCCGCTCCCCGCCCCTGCCGCCCGCCGGGGCACGCCGACAGGGGGGCGGGGGGATGGTCGCAGGCGATTGTCTCCTCCTCCTCCTCCTCCTCCTCCTGCTCCTCCTTCTCCTCCTCCTTCCCCAGCCCCCGACATCTCGACGAGGAATGAAGCCGCTCAGAGAAGGAGGGAAGCCCTGGGACACGCCCCGAGGGGGCTAATTTTTCGGACGCACCCCCGAGCTGTGACCGGAACGCGACTAGGCACCAGGAGGGCTGGGGGACGTTTTCCCGTGTGTCTCAAAGTTGTTCATCCTCCCGGGGAACTTTGGCATGCCCCCAGGGGCGGGGTGGGGGGATGGCCTGGGTCCTATAGGTCTCGATGCTGATGGAAGGGGGGGGAGCGGGTCGACGACGCTTCCGCGCGTTCTGTGAGTTTTGCCGCTTCCTGGCGGCCCCGAGGGCACGTTTGGGGGCCGCCTTGGAGAGTTCCGGAGGCCCCCCCATGGGGAGGCTCATGATCCAGAGGCGCACGCACGCGGGCAGCCCCATCTGATGAGAAGGGGGTGGGGCGAGAGCGGGGAGGAGGGGGGCTTGCTGGGGATGGGGTGAAGAGCGGCGGAGTGTCGCGACTTGTTCCCAACCCTCCTGCGTTGAGTTCTTGAAAAGAGCATTCTGCTCTCTATAGTCCTCCTTCATCCCGCCTCCCTCCTCTGTATCCTCTTTTGCCTGCCTGCTAGCCTGCACCCTACCTTGCCGCCATACCTGGGGGCTCACTGGGGGGCTGCGAACTCCGAAACCGTCGCAACCTTCGAAGGCTGCTGTGGGGGCAGCGGATTGACGTCATACGCAGATTCAGATAAGACCTCGCTATCCCTGGGAGGCTGCAAACAGTTAACATGTCGCAATGTCCTTGGGCTGCTGGGGGGGGGCAGCGGAGTGAAGTCATTTGCGTATTCAGATTCGACCTCGCCATTCTTGGGGGGCTGCGAACTGCCCAACCGTCGCCACTTTCGAGGGCTGCTGGGGGGGCCCAGCGGGGTGATGTCATACGCAGATTCTGATTCAAACTCGCCATACGTGGCGGGCTACGAACGGCGAAGCCGTCGCAAATTTCTGGGGCTGCTGGGGGGCCCAGCGGAGTGAGTTCACATAAGCAGATGCATATTCGACCTCGGGGCTCGCTGGGGGGCTGCGAACTGCGAAACCGTCGCCACCTTAGATGGCTGTTGTGGGGGGGCCAGCGGAGTGGCGTCATGCGCAGATTCAGGCTAGTCCTCGCCATCCGTTGGGGGGTCTGAACGGCGAAACGGTCGCCACTCTCGAGGGGTGCCTGGGGGGGCAGCGGAGTGGCCTCTTCGCGCCGCCATCCTCTTGAGGGGGCTTCGAGCTGCGAAGCCGTCGCCACGTTCGTCGGCCCCTTGGGGGGCGGGGCAGAGGGGTGCGGCGCTGCGCAGATCGGAGCGGGAGCTCGCCCTTTTGGGGGGCCTCGGTCCTCGCCTTTGTTCTGCTGTCCTGCGAGTTGTGCAGCGCGCACAGGGGGGTGATGACTAGGGTGGGGTGGATGTCATGGCGGGGGCCATGATACAGGCCTCGGAACAAATTAGCGAACAGTCATGCCATATTCATCTGTCAGCTGCTCCTCCTCCCCCCAATGTTCAAAGTTGGCGGTGGTTCTGATTGGATGCACTTCGACCGCAGTCTCCCCCGCGCGTGCCAACAGTGAGGTTGGGGGGGAGGGGGAGTGTTCAGTAATTGTTTCCCTCTACCGTATCTCCCCAGATTTCATTGCGCTTCTTCGTATTTCAGTGCGTCCAGGGCCGCCCCCCCTGGGCCGCGCACGTGCCGCCGGCCATGATTTGCGCCCCCCCCTTTGGACGCTCCCCTCCTGGCCGCTCCCGAATGTTTCTGTGTTATGAGTATTCAAACTGATTTGGCACAATGGAACGTACGATTGGCAAAATCAGTCGACGACGACCCGACTGGAGACCCACTACCAGTGTTGGAGGGAACTTCCTCAGCAGAAGAGGTTATAACATCCATCCATAAGCTTTAGCATGGCATCGCTTGTGGAATGGTTGACGTACCAGCGAAGCATTGGAAAGCTATTGCTACAGACCTGGGCGGGCTCGAACAGGCTGAAGGTTTGTGTAATACATGTTGGAACGAAGAGGCCATTTCAGATGAATGGGAACAATCCTTTATTTAGAAAGCATATACAAACCATAGCAGGCGCCCTCGACAAGTGTGACAACCATCGTCCAAACAGTCTTGGTGCCATTGCAGCATTCATCTTGAAGTGGATATCGGACATGCTGTGCGTCCATACATCGAATTGGCATTTGCAAACAAGCATGGGGGCGTAGCCTTCGTCGCGCTGGATGGCAAAACGGTTTCCGGCCGGATCAATGTGAGCGCGCTGTGGGAGGCATTGTTCAAATCGGGGTCGTTAGCCGCACCCTGAACATCATTGACACTATTTACAGTGGCAGAACATTCCGCGCTCCCGACGGAAGACAGTGATCCACAGACCGACACCCATATTCTGGAATTTCGCACGGATGCCCATTGTTCCCATGCTTGTTCGTAATGGTGATGGCGAGGGTTATCTAGGTCGCCGCGCGCCATGCACAGGCTGGGGTGCGAAAAGCATTGACGGAAGAGAATCGGGCTCTACTTGTGTTTGCGGATGGCACTTTGCGCAGTCAAGAACAATTACAAATTCTGCAAAGCGGAGGGATATGGCGGGCAGGATGTTCTTTCGCCCGCGCGGTCCGGCGCGTGGCATGATTGAGTAAGTTATTGTAATTAATGTGGACGAACTCTGTTTGACATTTGATGCACGTGGGTTGGGAACGTCGCAGGGTAGGGGCGAGGAGGTGTTGACAGAGCAACAAGAGGGCTTGATGGGCGAGGAAAGGAGGCGAGGGCGGTCGCATTGGGACCGGCAGATGGGGGAGGGGATGGTGATGATGAGGGGGAGGAGAGGGGCGGAGGAGAAGGGAAAATACAGAGAAGTATGTGAGGAGAGGAAAGGTAACTGGAAGGTGGAAGGAGTGCGAAAGGGAGGTGGATCAGGAGGGGGGGAGCGATGGGGAAGAGGTTGAGGTGGGGAGGGAAGGAGGGGGGGGGGCGTAACTTGGCATTTGGGAGTGGAGGCTGGCAGTCGGGAAGGGATGGGCGGTTAAGGTATTCAGCAAGTTAGGGCCGTCTTGAGACCCGACGGGGCGAGAGTGCCAGAATGGGATTCGGCGTTCCGACAGGCCCGTAAACGTCCGAAGACTTGCGAGAGACTCTGACATGCAACGGCTCTTGTCTCTCGTCCCTCCTTTTGTTTCGCAGGGGAGAAAACACAGACACACTTGATCGACAATTCCCAAAGACAATATGGTAAAGGATGGGAAGTGGGGGGAATACAAAAGCCCAGAACACATGGGAAAATATGGGGATTCCTGCTAATTGTGTATATTTCTTTAATCGCTTCGCTCATTCTGCCGGCCCTCGAGCGCTCCATGGGGCCTCTTTGAAGCATCTTGGGGGCCTCTTTGGGGCCTCCTAGGGGCCTCTTGGGGGCCTCTTGGGGGTCTCTTGGGGCTCCTTGGCGGCGTCTTGGGGTCCCCTTGGGCCTCTTGGGGGGCTCTTGGGGGCCTCTTGGGGCGGGGTAGTCGAGTGCACCCCCCTCGGAGGCCACAATCCTCGTGAGGGGTGTCGAAAAAAGGCCTTCAAAACCATATCTGAGTAGACCTTCCCGGGCTGCGGTCGGGGTACTTTTCGCCGGGGGACCCCCAGGGGCCGCCCCGCGCGCGCGAACTAGAAGAATTGTGAACCAGTTGCCGGAGATCTTAGCACGCCTCTGGCCCGTTGGGCCGGCGAATTTGTCTGTCCCAGGGCCCCTTCATTTTGATTCGCCTCAGCGACGAAACATTGTCGGGCCCGGCCACCCCAGGCCGCCCATCTACTGGGACAGGCAGGGGTTTCCTGTCTGGCGCTCACCTTTCCCGTGCCAATTTTGAGGGGCCTGTTTTCCACCACCACCAGAAGTTGGAGGGGGAGGAGGTCCTCCTCCTCCTCCTCCTCCTCCTCCTCCTCCTCCTCCTCTTCCTCTTCCTCCTCCTCCTCCTCGTCCTCCACCTCCCTCCCCCATCCAACTTATGGTGGTGGCGGTGGAAAACAAGCCCATCAAACTTGTTTTTTTTCTGGCCCCCCGCAGTCACATGAGTGACGCTGAAGAACTGCGCCAGTTGCGCGGACATTCGCGCGCAATGCTTTCGCGAAAGGACGCGGGTCATCGCCTTCATTTCCACACGGGGTATCGCGCAGGCGGACTGCGTACACAAAAGCATAGGATTGGCATATCTTCGGGTGTAAGTTTCCTTTCTTATTCGTGTCTCAAATGTGGCTTCCATTCGTTGTCCTTTGGAGGCCGATCGGAGGTGCTTTCTGAAGGGATTCACGTGGCCACCCGAGACATATGGAATTGCGCTTTAGTTTGCTGATGGCCGTCGCGTTTGAGGAACGGGAGAGGCAAGGCCAATTCCGATTTCTGTCGTCGTCCTCCTCGGCGCTCCTAGAGGAGGAGCACGGGATGCTGTTGCATAGACATAAGCTTTCAGAGGCCCGCGCGGATTTCGTGGATCTGAGCTGAATCTCCCCTCCCTGGCGCGCGGCGCGCGCCAGGTGCGGCGCTGGAGCCGCCGCCAGGGTGGGCCCGGCGCCGACCCAGAGACTCCGCGCAGAGCTCCCAATTGGTACGTTTCCGCGGGGTCCTCTGTCTCTCGGTAGCGAAAGAAGGAAGTTCACGTAATTACTTGGGGGCGGCAAAGAGGGGGGTGATGACTAGGGGGGGTGGATATCATGGCGCGTGCCATGATATTTCCCCAGACTTCATGGCGCCACTTCTTGTTTCATTACGTCCCTGACCCCCTCCGCTGGGCCGCGCACATGCCGCCGGTCATGATTTGCACCCCCCCCCCCTCTTGGACACCCCCCTCTTGGCCGCTCCCGAATTACATGAATTCATGTAGGTTTCGAGAGCACGCGCTGCGCGAACGTTCGTATCACGTGGGCGGTCTCGCGGATTGGGGGGCCGTGTTCATGCGAACGGTTGGGCGCGCATGTCATTGTTGTGGCTCCTTTTTCCCCCTCGAGATGCATCGGCGCCGCCGGCGTGGGGACATCTTGGGCTCCACGTCCCGCCGCACCGACAGCGCCGCCTCCGCGGGCAGGCCCGGCGGGAGTGCCTCGCGCTGCGAGTCCATCCAGCTCCTGCGGGAGCTCATGGGCCTGCTGGAGGAGCCCGTCGCCGCCACGCCGCGAGGCCCGTGGAGGCCCACGTGGCCCGCGGCAGCCTTCGGAGCCCCTCGGACAGCCTTCGGAGCCCCTCGAGTCAGCAGAGCGCGGGGGCCGAAGGGTCACTCAGTGTCCCTGGGGGCGTGGCTGAATGAGGAACTCGTGGTGGGACTTCTGCTAGTTGCGCTGTGGTTGAAGATTATTACTTCTAAAGAATAATTATTGTTGGGACCCCTGGTGCGCGACCCCCCCGCCGCGCCTAGGCCGCAGCCACGTTTTCATCATTTTCGTGAGGAAGTCTCAGGCAAAACGGGTTGGTCCGGATCCGGTTGTGTTGTTACGATCGGTTTTCCCTTGCAAAAATAAGCTAAAGTGGACATTTCTTGTTCTAACATAACCAAACTTCAAGAATCCCTTGCAAAAAATAAGGTAAAGTGGACATTCGCGCGCGCAAGACGAAATCCTTCCAAAACCTTAGTTTTCGTAGCGATTTTAACATAAAAACATCAAAAAACCAATGGTTTTTCAACAAAAAAATTGTCAAAATTCATCCCGCGCGCTCTTGCGGATTCGTAGGAAACCCAACACTTTTTAAACATTTCTGTCAAACGGGCTTTTGCGAGCAACTTTTTCGAACTTCTGCAACAACGGTTGCGCACCTGCCAGGGCCATCATCCCTGTCAAATAATACCATGCGGGACACATTCGTTTTTTCTTCGCGCGCGCACGCCGTCGTCGTCGGCCGCGGGGCCCTGAATAGTAGCCACGGTCGTCCGCATGCCACGAAGTGAAGTGTCCGAACGTCATAGGGCGGGAAGCTGGGTGTGGGTGGTGGCGAAGAGTCGTTTGGAAATTTGGTAGAGCTTGAACCGGCCCCCCCACAAAGTGGGGGTATTGCCCGCCTCCTATGAAAACCCTGGCACTGGTGAGAACGGAGTGTCCCCACGTGCTAGTAATTGTTGAACATTATTAATTCTAAAGAATAATTATTGTTGGGCCCCTGGTGCACGCCCCCCTGCGCCGCCTAGGCCGCAGCTACATTTTCATCATTTTCGTGAGGAAGCCTCAGGTAATTCGATGTGATCAAGATCCGGTTGTTTTGTTCCCCCCCGCTTTCCCTTGCAAAAAACACTATAAAATGACATTTCTTGTTCTAATATAATCAAATTTCAAGAATCCCTTGCAAAAAATAAGGTAAAGTGGACATTCGCGCGCGCAAGACGAAATCCTTCCAAAAGCTTAGTGTTCGGAGCGATTTTAACATAAAAACATCAAAAAACCAATGGTTTTTCAACAAAAAAATGTCAAAATCTCATCCCGCGCGCTCTTGCGGATTCGTAGGAAAACCAACACTTTTTAAACATTTCTGTCAAACGGGCTTTTGCGAGCAACTTTTTCGAACTTCTGCGACAACGGTTGCGCACCTGCCAGGGCCATCATCCCTGTCAAATAATACCATGCGGGACACATTCGTTTTTTGCGCGCGCACGCCGAAATCTCCAAAAACCATTGGGTTCTTAAGAATTTTAGCACCGCGCATCATAAAATCACACGCATTTTTGTCTCTCTCTCTCCCGCTCTCTTCCTCTGTCTCGCCTTCTCTCTTTCAGTGTCTGTACCATGTCTAGCACTGGTAACAAAGGTATTTGTGTATCCCCACATCCGCCCAGGAATTCCACAAATGTGACCAACTATCTTGCGAGTACGTATCATCTCATGTGTGTCGTGCACACTATCAAATGTAACAGAGTTGTGTATTCCCATCATCCCAGGAACTTGACCCAAAAATGTGACCAACTCCGCTCTCTCTGTCTCTCTCTCTGTCTGCTCTCTGTCTCTCTCTCTGTCTCTCTGTATTATGTATTGTATGGCACAATTGCACCATGCTGGGCACATGCGCGCCCCGAATAAGTGACCAAGTTCTGTGGGTGTGTACCCCACGCCAGTGTAGTAGCCACGGTCGTCCGCACGCCACGAAGTGAAGTGTCCCAACGTCATAGGGCGGGAAGCTGGGTTTGGGTGGTCGCGAAGAGTCGTTTGGATATTTGGTAGAGCTTGTAATGCCCCCCCACGAAGTGGGGGTATTGCCTGGTGTCGTATGAAAACCCTGGCACTGGGGAGAACACCACGCGTTCGGGTAAAATGATTGTTGTTGTTGTTGTTGTTGTTGTTGTGGTTGTGGTTGTGGTTGTGGTTGTCGTTGTCGTTGTTGTTGTTGTTGTTGTGGTTGTTGTTGTGGTTGTGGTTGTTGTTGTTGTGGTTGTGGTTGTCGTTGTTGTTGTTGTTGTTGTTGTTGTTGTGGTTGTTGTGGTTGTTGTTGTTGTTGTTGCTGTGGTTGTGGTTGTGGTTGTGGTTGTTGTTGTTTTTGTGGTTGTTGCTGTTGCTGTTGCGGTTGTGGTTGTGGTTGTGGTTGTTTATGTTGTGGTTGTCGTTGTCGTTGTTGTTGTTGTTGTTGTTGTTGTCGTTGTGGTTGTTGTTGTTGCTATTGAGCCCTCAGTGCTGAAGAATAATGATTGTTGATCCCCCTTTCACTGGTGCATGCTGTTTTTTGTAAAGCAAGGTGTGCCCCTCGACGCTCGCACCCTGTTCTTTGACAGGGAAGGTCTTCCTGCTCAAACTGGGCCCCTGGCCCCCCCGATTTCAACAACAACAACAACAACAACCGCTCCCGCCTAAGACTTCCTCCAAAGTTACTCAGGAGCCCCGCTCCTAAGACTTCCGCACAATTTGCTCAGGATCGGTGCTCCCGCCTTTGACTTCCTCGCAATTGAGTCCGGACCCCTGCTCCCGTCTGAGACTTCCTCACGATTTACTCAGGAACGGCGCTCCCGCTTGAGACGTCGTCGCAATTGAGTCAAGACTTCTTCGCAATTTTATCAAGACCCCCACTCTGGCCAGAGAGCCCCTCACATTTTATCCAGGAGTTGCGCGCTCGCCTGTGACTTCCATGCAATGTATCCAGAATTCGCGCTTTCGACGCTCAGGAAACACGCTGCGCCAAGGATGCCGCTACAGTTTACTTAGTAATCGCGCTCTCGCCATACTCAGGCATCCCGCTTGAATGTCACACCCGCCCGAACCTGCCCGTCAGGGGATGGGCCCGTCGTGGGCTCCTGCCCGAGACTTCCTTCAGGAACGGCGCTTTCACCTAGGACTTCCTCGAACGTTCACGCTCTTACCTTCCTGCTCCTCCTCCCCTTCCCTCCTCCCTCCTCCCTCCTTTCCTCCCTTATATATATATATAAATATATGTATATATAGATCCTCTCTTCCCGTATCCTTATGCCTGTGTGACCTATCCCCTCTCCCTCCTTTCCCTCCTCCTTTCTCCTTCCCCTCTCCTGCCTGCTTCCTCTTTCTTTCTCTCGCTCCCCTCTTTCTCTTTTTCTCTTTTACGACCTCTCTTATATGTCTCTCGTTTTCTACCTCTCTACCTCTTCTCTCCTTCTCTTTTTCTACCTCTCTCTTTCTCTCTTTCTACCTCTTTCTGGCGTTGTCCCTCTTCCTTCGTCCAACCCCCTCCCTTCTTCCCACTCTCCCTCGTTCTCCCCCTCCTTTTTCTGCAGGGCCCACACAAACTCCAATGGCGGGCACTTGCTAAACAGTTTGTATTGTTGGACCCTTTCACAGGCGCCCTGGCACTCTCGCCGAGGCGCCGGCTGCATTTTCACTGAAAATGAAGCCCAGTCTCAAGCGGTTTGGGGGGCCGCCAAGACCGGCCCCCCAACAACAACAACGCCCCCGTTCGAGACTTCCTCCTTTTTACTCAGGGCTGGTGCTCTTGCTCGCCGCCGAAAGCAGCCGTCTCAACAAAGCCAGCGCTCCCGCACGAGACATCCTCCCGTTTTACTTCTCTTTCTCTCGTCGGCACCGCCCCCCCAGCAACAACAACGCTCCCGCTCGAGACCCCCTCCCTTTTTTACTCAAGGCGGTGCTCTTGCTCGCCGCCGCCAGCCCCCGTCCCGACAAAACTAGCGCTCCCGCCCGAGATCTCCTCCCGTTTTACGCTGGACTGGCGCCCTTTTCTCCCCCTCCTCCTCCTCGTCCTCGTCCTCCTCGTCCTCCCTCCTCCTCCTCCTCCTCTTCTTCTCCTTCTCCTTCTCCTCCTCCTCCTCCTCCTCCTTCTCCTTCTCCTCCTCCTCCCTCCCCCGGCCTCCCTCCTCTTCCTCCCTCTTCCTTCCTGCACCCCCTCCTCTTCTCCCTCCGTCCCTCCTCCCTCCTTCGTCCCTCTTGCCTCCCTCCTCCCCCCCTTTTCCTCCTCCTCCTCCTTCTAATTTCTCCTTCTCCTCCTCCTCTTCCTCCTCCTCCTCCTCTTCCTCCTCCCTCCTTCCCCCTCTCTCTATTCCTCCCTCTTCCTCCCTCCACCCCCTCCTCTTCTCCCTCCTCTCTCCTCCCTCTCCCGTCCCTCTTTCATCCTTTTCCTCCCTCCCCCTCCCTCCTCCTTTCCCTTTTCGTCCCCGTTTTCTCCTCCCTTCTCCTGCCTCCCTCCTCCCTCCTCCCTTCCCCTTTCCGTCCTCGGCGCATACGAGAAGGAAGCCGTTCCAGAGCGTGCGGGGCCGCTGTGAAAAAGGGCCGCGGCGCCCGCGACATCCCCCAGATCCGCGAGATGTAGAGTTTCCCGATGTATCTTGACCCGAACGTATCTTCGCCATGGCTTCGTTTTGGACTTCTTGGGCCTCTCGCCAAGTAGAGCGCAGGCTGCGGCGTCATCCTCGGCGCGAAATAGTCGTCGGTGGCGCTCGTCTGGGCGGCCCCTGCTGCTGTCGTGCGTCTTGGATTGGCGGTTGAGGGCCCGCTGCTCCTCCCGTGCGACTTCGGCATCTGCGCGGCGTGCTTCCGCGCCCGCCGATTAACGGCGTTTCGCGCGTGGGCACCCGCTCGTTGGTTGGATGGCTCCGCGACTTACCGCGCCTTGGCGCCGGGCGAATCTTGCAGATTTTCGTCGGCATCGACCCGGCGTCCGGCTGCGGATGTAGCTGCGTCGATGGCGACGAACCCCCCTG